CTGTTAATGGTTAATGCACTTGGGCAGTTAAGCCTCCACAAGGCATCGGGCTGATGTTCCCTCTGGGATTTGGGAGCGGGAGCAGTGCAGCCCCAGCAGCACATGGGGCTCACACGGCCGGGGCTGAGGTTCCTTCTTGGTGAGTCCTTTTCCATCAGACCCTGCCTGGGTGATGCCTTCTCCTTTGGGAAGAGTGCAAGGGAACAAAGGAGCTTGTGAGAGGGATGTTTCCATATCCCCAGGGGGTACAGGTGAGGGTCTTGTTGATCTCTGCTCTAGTGGAAGGTGTCCCTGCCTGTGGCACAGGGTGGAGCTCGATGAGCTTTAAGGTCCCTTTGACTCAAACCAGACTGGGATCCTATGGAAAGGCAGGAATCTCCCAGGGGAGAGAGTTGCTCCAGGTCGGTCAGGAAGTCTGGGCATTGGATGGAATTCCAGCCCTGCTGCCCTCTTTTCCCCTCGGTCTTTGGATCTGTGCGATCTCTGTGGGATGGGGAAGAGGCACAAAGAGCACTTTGTGGTGCCTGCAGTGAGGTGGATGTGTTTATAGAAGTGGGAGAACAGGGAGTAACGTGTCCAGTGTAGGATCATAGGATCATGGGATCAACGAGGTTGGAAAAGACCTTTAAGATCATCAAATCCGACTGTTACAGAGGGTTTTGGGGTGGTCACAACCTTCAGAGGGGGTTCAATGTGAGCCATGGTCAAGACACTTCTCAGTGCTGGTACCAGTGCAGTTTTCATTCCTACCCTGAAGGTTCATACGAGGAGCTCTCGGAGGTGACCTGGTCACTGACCTGGACAGGGACGCTGTGTTATGCCATGGAGTCACGGAATGCTTTGGGGTGAAGGGACACTGTATATTGTACATGTCAGGGGCTGAGACCAGGCTCTCAGGCCTCAGTTGTCCCTTCTCTTGCACAGAGCCAACCCCGAGCCCTGCAGCACCATGTATGAGCTCAACGAAAGCAGCTTTGACCCAATCACCTTCGTGCTGACAGGCATCCCGGGCATGGAGGAGTCCCACATCTGGATCTCTGTCCCCTTCTGCCTCATGTACGTCACTGCCGTGTTCAGTAACGCGGTCCTGCTTTTCGTCATTGCCACAGACAGGAGCCTGCACGAGCCCATGTACCTGTTCCTGGCCATGTTGGCCGTCGCCGACCTCATGCTCTCCACCACCACGGTGCCCAAGATGCTGGCGATCTTCTGGTTCAGCGCGCGGGAGATCTCCTTTGACGCCTGCATCACGCAGATGTTCTTCACCCACTTCAGCTTCATCGTGGAGTCCTCGGTGCTGCTGGCCATGGCCTTCGACCGTTACGTGGCTGTCTGCCACCCGCTGCGCTACCCGGCCACCCTCACGCCCTCCGTCATAGGGAAGATGGCCACGACCGCTGTGATCCGTGCCTTCTGCATCATGTTCCCCCCCATCTTCCTCCTCAAGAGGCTGCCCTACTGCGGGCACAACGTCATGCCCCACACGTACTGCGAGCACATGGGCATCGCCCGCCTCGCCTGCGCCGACATCAAGGCCAATGTGTGGTATGGGCTGACCACGGCCCTGCTCTCCTCGGGGCTGGATGTGGTGCTCATCGCCATGTCCTATGTGCTCATCCTCAGGGCCGTGTTCCGCCTCCCGTCTCCTGAGGCGCGGGTCAAGACCCTGAGCACCTGCGGCTCCCACCTCTGCGTCATCCTCATGTTCTACGTGCCTGCCTTCTTCTCCTTCCTCACACACCGCTTCGGCCACCACATCCCCAGCCACGTCCACATCCTCCTGGCCAACCTCTATGTCGTGGTCCCGCCGATGCTCAACCCCATCGTGTACGGGGTGAGGACGCGGCAGATCCGGGAGCGCGTTGCCCGCCTCTTCTGCCCCACAGGGAAGTGCCCCTGTCCTGGGTGGGGGAGAAGGTGCTGAGGGCTGCTGGAGGAACAGAAGGTGTTCAAGGAAGCTGAGGGTGGTGGGATCTCTGGGTATGTGGGCTTGGGCCATCAGCCCCTTCACTGCTCCTGGTTTCTCCTAGAGATGCTTCTGCTGAATGGTCCATCAAGCAGATACTGGGCAGAGCTCAGCTGAGGAGCACCAAGGCTCTTAGATCTGCTGAGCTACCACCACCTACTGCTGCTGGTGGGGTTTGCTGTCCTGCAGCTTCGTGCCTGTTCCTTTGCCTGTTACCTCAGTGCCTGGATGGTGAACAACTCATCAGAGCCTGGCACATGAGCCAGAGCTGGAGGTACTGGGGCACAGAGGATGGTCTGTCCCCTTGTCTTCATGGGAAGAGCTCCCACGGCTGAGGAACTTCTTGCTGTTGCTGCTGTTTACATGCTGAAGAGCTCCCAGAGGTCAGGAAAGGGTTTATTGTCCTGTGGAATGTATCCCTCAAACCTCAATGTCCATAACTCAACTCAAGCCTCTTGAGTGTGAGCAAAGGGAGAACATTCTCCTCCACCCCACACACCCCACAAGGCATTGCAGGAGTGCTGAGCTCAGTGATGAGCTCAGCATGAAGTACGTTGCTCCTCAAGATCCATTTCTGCCCCATGGGCTGATCACCCACCCCTTTGTTGCTCCAACACTAGAACAGCTTCATTGAACTCAGTTTCTTGTTGTCTCTTTGATGGATGTACCAGTTGCATCAATAACCTTCTTCTACCTGAGGTCAGTAACAACCTGCTTGAACCATGACAGACATGAAGAGGGAGCACTAAGGTATGTCTAGAAGAGCAGCAGGGACAGGTCTGGGCACCTCCATAGGGTCTGAGTTTAACATCATCATCAATGTGACCAGTAAGGAGAAGCTTTTCCTCAACTCTCCCTCCCCAGCAGTGCTGTCCATGCAAACACACCTTCTGTCTCTGCTTTAGTGGACCTCACTAGTGCCTCAGTGCACTGAGCACTGCTGGTGCCCCCTGCACATTGCTCCATGCTCATGAGGACCTGTGGGAGCAGAGGCAGCTCTGGAGACCTCAGGGGACGATTGTCAGAGTTCCAGGTCTCTGGTGGAAGGTTGGTGCTCTCTGCACCACTCTGTGGTGGGGTTTGGTGTGTGGTTATGACATGGAGGTCAATGGAGACATTGGCACCACCAGCCACAGACCTGTCAGAGGCTTCTGGTTCCTGCAGCCTGGACTGCTCCATGTGGCCGGAGCTCCTCAGGACCATGGAAGAGCCACAGCACCCTCCCATCACCAGAGCACACAGGTTGTTCTGTCCCATGCTCTGCATGGCATTGACTTGATGGGCAGCACGCACTCAATGGGACCTGTTGGTCTTCTTGTCCTCACAGCACAGTCCTGATGGACATTCTGCTCCATAAAGGTGGTGGAACACTGGGATGGGTTGAAGGGAGAAGCTGCCCCATCCCTGGCAGTGTTCAAGGTCAGGTTGGACACAGGGGCTTGGAGCAACCTGCTCTAGTGGAAGATGTCCCTGCCTGGGGCAGGGGTTGGAGCTGGAGGAGCTTTATGGTCCCTTCAACCCAACCCAGTTTGTGACCCTATGATGTGATGAGCTGGTGGCTTTGGGCCTGGGTGCCCTTTCTGGGGCTGGTTCTAACCCACGATGTGTTTTAGCCTCAAACTGCTGGGGAGAAGCAGATTGATGTCAGTCGTGGCGTTGGAGGGGTCGGACCTGCTCATGGTAGGGGTGGTGCCAGTTCCTGGCCTCTGGGCTGGGGTTTGAGCAAAGTCTGGAGGGAGGAGACACAACAGACAAAGCCTTCATGTGCTGGAGGAAATGCTCGATCCATGAGGGGTGCAGAGAGCTCAGAGGGACCGTCACTGCAGGTGGGATCCTCAGGAGAGAACATCTGATGCTCGGGATTGCTGCAAAGCCCTGAAGGAGGCATCTGAATGAAGGGAGATGAAAGCAGAGATTCTGATTAGAAATAAGAGCCTTATTTTTACTAATGACGATAATGAAGTGCTTTGAGAAGCTCATGAGAGCAGCAGCTTTTCCAGCAGTGACTATACCCATAGACATGTTTAAACCCATGTGGAGAGTGGAAGTTCTTGGGTATGAAGCTGTTTTCTCAGTGAGACCATGATGGTGCAGCAGCACAAAGCAGTCCACGTGCCTGTTTGGCCTCCAGCTCTACATGTGCTGCAGGTGATAACTTGGGGTGCTTCTGAGGTGCCCCTGACCATTCTCACTGGAAGGGCTTTTCCTAAACCAGGGTAGATGCTGTTGGCACTTTGGGGCCAGACACATCATCTCCTCTTAGCGCTGGGTGCTGAGACTCATTGCCAGCCACAGTGCACATCCTTCCTCTTCCCCAACACCCTGCCCCATGTGTGTTCCCCTTCCCATGACTCGTGGTGCTGCCATTGGAGGAGACCAGGCCATGTTGCCTCTCCTCAGGATTCCCATCCCATGGTCACTGTGGCTGAGGCTGCCTCCGACATCCCCAGCCCTCATCACTTCATCCCTGTTTCAAATCACCAGGTCCAGCAGAGCCCCTGTTGCCTCTTGGCTCCGTGGCAGGGGGTTGGAACCAGAACCAGTCTGTGATTCCATGATTCCAGCAGAACCAGGATAAAACCAAACAGAAACAAGTCTCTGACTTGTGCTTACATTTAAAACGGGATTACTGAGAAATACGAGGTGGCTCCATTTGCCATCAGCTCCAAGTGAAACAGTGGAGAAGCGAATATGAGACAAGATCCATAAAGAGTGGAAGGGCAGGGACAGGATCAATGGCAATCAGGACCTGTGGTGCTCAGCTGCTGCAGAATCATCTCATTTCATCTTCTGCTGAGCTCCAAACGTGGGTGATGAAGTTTCCCGGGGCCTGAGCACAACCCTCAGCATTTCCTTAACTTCAAAATGTCATTAAACCTACCTCATGATAGCAAAGCCATCAATAAATAATGAGTAAATCGGGTGCTGATGGAGTTTGGCAACTGAAAACTCTTCTCTCAGTGATTGCTCCCCCCTGAGAGCTACTTTTCCATACATTCCTGGGGGATTCAGCAGGGATTGCTGGGCTGTGGGGGCTGATGGTTGTCATCAGGTCTGACTGTTACCAGTGGTGCAGAAACCAGGGTAAAAACGCTGCTAATGAGGTTTGTAGATGGTGCAAAGACAGAGAATTGAATAGAGCTGGAGGCCAAGTCCTGCTCCTCAGAGGGGCTGTGCCAGGGACGGGGGCTCCGGTGGAGGTGGCTCCGCAGAAGCTCAGACAACCAAGGGAAGGAGCGTTTTGAAGGGGGCATTTTGAGTGATGCTTGGCCCAGGGGCCAGTGGGAGGTCCCAGGTGTGCCACAGGGAGAAAATGGGGAGAGACCAATGCTCTGATCCAGCTGTGCTCAGAGTTGGTTCTTGGTCCTCTTTTAATGAAAATGAGGGCAAAGCACCTGGCAGGTGCTTTATGGTGCTCTGAAGGGGTGATCACAGTGTCCTTTGTGGTGGTAAAGGCCACAGAAAGAAGCCTTTGGTCCTGGGAAGTGCTGAAGGGTGAGACAAGATCCATGAAGCTTCTTTAGCCTGGAGAAGGCTCCTCTAAGGGGAGACCTTAGAGCAGCTCCAGTGCCTAAAGGGGCTCCAGGAAACCTGGAGAGGGGCTTTGTGCAAGGGATAGGACAGCACAAGAGGGAATGGGTTAACTCCTCCATAGTGCTGGTAACCATGAGGAGCCTGCCTAAGTCTCCACTGAGGTCAGAGTGTTTCTTGCTGTGGCTCCACTGACGTCCACTTCCCTCCATTGCCTTTGAGATCTCATTTACTTCTTACACGTGCTCTGGGGATGTTCTGAAGAAAATTGAGCCAAATCCCCTCTTCCTCCCCAGAAAAGGGTCTTTGCAGCTCAAGCTGCCCCCAGCTGAGCTTAGGAGGGGTGGAAAAGTCTCTCAAGAGCGGGAAGTGGAATTCAAAGCACACAAGTTCTGGCTCCATCTCCTGTGGGTTATTTAGGTAACATTTAACCACGTCAGAGACATAAATCCCCCCGATCTACCAGCTACTGCCCATTATGCACGGCCCTGAGGATGTTAACGGCTGAGCTGGCGATTCATTGACTGTGGGACATTGACCTCGGCAGTTTGGTCCC